TGGCCGTTTGCGGTCCGGTACGCTGCGCATCAGCTCAAACCTCTGGCCCCGTGTCTCCTTGCCGGAGACCTCGCCCACACTGCGTTGGACGGGGAAGGTTGGCGATGCGTCGGTGTTCCGGGTCTGGGTTCTCGTGCCTTTGTTCGCGATACGTCCGCGGACAAAGCTCTCCGCCCGCGCCATTCCCTGCGTCTTCCTTGGCTTTGTCCCTGACGCGCCTGGCTGGCAGTTTTACCACCCCACCTCGCGCCGTGTCCTCCCTTCTCAGGACGTCACGTTCGATGAGTCGGTTCCCTTCTACCGGCTCTTCCCCTACCGCTCTGCCACTTCCCCGCCCCCGCCGCTCTTCCTTGCTCCCGGTCCACCTCCGGTAGACCCCCTTCCGCCCCAGGGTCCTGCTCCCTCGGGAGTGTCTCAGGTAGACCCTCTCCCTGGTACTGCGCCTGTTCAGGTAGCTGTCGTCTCAGGTGCTGCTCCAGGTGCTGCGTCTGGGGGCTGCGTCTGGGGGTGCTGCGTCTGGGGGTGCAGAGCTGGAGGGTGCGGGGTCTGAGGGTGCTGGGTCTGGGGGTGCTGAGCCTGAGGGTGTTGAGCCTGGGGGTGCTGAGTCGGAGGGTGCGGAGCCTGGGGGTGTTGAGTCGGAGGGTGCGGAGTCTGGGGGTGCTGAGCCTCGGGGTGCTGCTTCGTCTGGAGGTCCTGCTGGTGCTTCACCGCGACTGTCCTCGCAGCAGCTGCGTGAGTGGCTTGTTCAGCGCCCCCACCGTCGGAGTGGACCTCCTGGGGCTGGCGAGCCTGGAGACACTGGAGCTGGAGGTGCTGCTGTTACTACTGGAGCTGGAGACCCTACGGAGCCTGGAGCAGCTGGCGCCACAGGCGCTGGAGCTGGTGTAGCTGGAGTTGGAGGCCCTGGCGCAGGAGGCGCTGGAGCTGCAGGAGCTGGAGCTCTTGACCCTGGAGCTGGAGGTGCTGGAGGCACTTTGCGACCGCGCGCGTACTTCGTTCCCCTGCTTCAGCAGGTTCTTGGTGTCCCGTCTTCTACTGGTCTTCCTCCTCCCTTCCTGTGTCCACCGCCTGACCAGTCGCAACCGCCGTTACAGCCAGCCTCCCCACTGCCTGTTCCTTCTCCTTACACTGAGCAGACCGGAGGTCTTACAAAGCGTCGTGAGCCTGCGTCTCGTCCTGTCTCGCCTGTTCGCACTGCTCCTCGCGCTCTCTCGTTCGCGTCCTCCTCCTGTCCCAGGCACACACACCATGGCACTCCGTCCTTCCTCTGTTCCACTGCGTGTTTTCCTCTGCCTGCTCCTCCTGAGTCCTCTCTTCCTGAGGTCCCTAACCCTGAGTCTGACCGAGCGCGTGCTGCCAGTCCCACTATCGCTCGTCTCCTTGCCACTGCTGTCACTAACCCGTACTTTGAGTCTGCTGCTGCTGCGCTGCTCTCGTTGCTGAGCTGCTTGACTTTCTGCTGCCTGCTGCCGTCTCGACTACGCCACTGCTCTCGTTGCTGAGTCTGTGTCTGCCAGTCCTCCGTCCGTCGGGGGTGAGTGTGCTCTTGGCACGGACGTCCTTGAGGACAGGCAGGAGGACTTTGAGTCTCTTGCAGCTGCTGTACCTCGTTTCGCTTCCATGTTGCTTGCCCCTGAGGGAGATCCGGATGCTCCAGACATCCCGACCCCGCGCTCTTACGCAGAGGCGATTCCGCGTCCTTACTCCTCTCAGTGGCAGGCAGCCATGGATGCCGAGATGGCATCCTGGAAGTCCACAGGCACCTACTTCGACGAGGTTCCCCCACCTGGGGCGAACATAGTCGATGGCCTGTGGATTTTCAGGGTGAAGCGGCCGCCGGGTTCTCCGCCTGCCTTCAAGGCGCGTTACATTGCTCGAGGCTTCAGCCAGCGACAGGGAGTTGACTACTTCCAGACCTTCTCCCCCACCCCGAAGATGACTACTCTTCGGGTGTTGCTGCACGTCGCTGCTCAGCGTGACTACCAGTTGCACTCCCTGGACTTCAGCACAGCCTTCCTGCAGGGCAGCCTGCACGAGGAGATCTGGCTGCGCCGACCACCTGGTTTCACTGGGACGTTGAGGCACTGACCCTTGTGAAGTCCGAGCTGCAGAAGAGACACACCTGCACTGACCTGGGTGAACTGCACAGCTATCTTGGCCTGCAGATCACCCGGGACAGAGCACGGCGCACCATCACACTGACTCAGTCACACATGGTGTACCACGTCCTTCAGCGCTTCGGCTTCCAGTACTCCTCGCCACAGCTCACTCCTCTGTCTACGAGCCACTCGCTCTCAGCTCCACCTGTGGACGAGTCCGTAGAGCCGAGTGGTCTGTACCCAGAGCTTGTGGGTTGCCTCATATACCTGATGACGTGCACTCGACCCTCTCAGCCTCCGGGCTCGTTACGCGGCTCCCGGCAGGCACCGAAAGGTTCACTGGGATGCTGCGAAGAGGGTACTGTGTTACTTGTGCAGTACGTCAGGCATGGGGCTTGTGCTTGGAGGACGGGGTCCAGTTGTCCTCACCGGTCACGCAGACGCCTCTTGGGTGATGACTCAGCTACTCAGCGGTCGTCACAGGGTTACACCTTCAGCCTTGGTTCCGGCTCTGTTTCTTGGCGGTCTACCCGCTCGTCTTTGGTTCTCAGCTCCAGTTGTGAGGCTGAGATCTACGCCGGGGCCATGGCTGCTCAGGAGCTACACTGGCTCACCTACCTGCTGACCGACTTGGGAGAGCAGCCTCATTCGCCACCAGTTCTGTACGTAGACAACACGGCCATGATTGCCTTGTGTCAGGAGCACAGACTGGAGCACAGAAAGAAGCACATCGCTCTGCGATACTTCCTTGCTCGAGAGTTGCAGCAGCGTGGCCAGCTTCGTCTTGTGTAGGTGGCCACTCGGGCCAACACTGCTGATGTCTTCACCAAGGCACTTCCGTCTGGTGATCATCAGCGCTTTGTTACTGTATTAGGCGTTGTGCCTACTTTGCCTCACTTGCTTACTGCTTGACTCTGCTTGTACTGTTATATATATATATACCTGCATGCTTGCACTTGCTAGGGTATGATCACTGTATTGTTTGTTCTCTTTATATAACTCTTCATGTGAACTGGCCTTGTGGCCCTTTGCTTGTGCTCGGACTGTGTGGTGACTTTGTGATCCACCCTGAGCTTGCTTTGCTTTGCTTCTTCTCTTTACTGGTCTTGTGACCATTGCTTGCTCTTGCTATCCCCCACTTCGCCTATGGGGGTGTGTCAAACATATGTGTTTATATTTCTCTATGCTGTAGTGGGTTTAGCCTTAGGGGTACTACTGAATTTCTCTCGACATTCTACTTGTACCCCCCCCCCCCCCCCCCCCTTCACCTAATGCATCATTCTCGCTATTCTAACAGTAGGCGTGGCAGGGAGGGGTGACCAAGGCGGTGGTGCCAGAGGAGAGTTTGGTGTGACAGGAGGCGACACGAGCAAGGGGGTGCTACCGGACCTGATGCGGACACCTGGGCAGACGCAGCTACCTGAGGAGGCTCGGTAGCCAGTGTGTACAGACTCGACCCTGGCCGACGAGTGAACGTGGCCAGGTGACGACCCGTCCGTGTACACGTGCAGATCGACACACGCTTGCCCCCAGGAGTGGTGGTAGTGATCATCGAATCCTGGAGGGCAGCTGTACTCACCAAGTTCGTAGAGAACGAGGGAAGGTGAAGACCTGAAAGTGAGCCGGGCGGAACCGCCGGACACAAGAGAACAGTGGAGGAACGGTCAACGACTGGGCCCCCGGAGGGGTCAGCCAGTCTGACCGGGACAAGTACAGGGAGAGGAGTGAGGGGTGGTTTGTCACGAAAGAAACAGCATGAGGCACCTGAGTCCAGCGTGAAGGTGTGCAAGGCCTAAGCAGGCGCAGTACCAGGGAGAGAAGACTCACTAGCACCTAGAGGAGCAGCCCCTATACCTGGGTCAGGCGGCACACACCGGTAACAGTCACCCTCAGCACTAACAAAAAAGCATAGATAGCAGAAAGAATAGCATCATATTCTAGGTCAAAGATAGCAACTCCAGACCTAAGCAGCTCTGCCCAGTGAGGGCGCTCGACCTCATCACCAAACTCAGTGCGCCAAGCGTCGTCGAGGCGGGAGAAGCAGCGGTGCTGAGTGTGAGGCTTCCCGCATGTCTGACCAGCAGAGTCACCCTTGGGAATGACATACGGGCAGCTAAGACTACCCCCCAGAAGCCCCACGCTGAAACAACCACTCACGAAGCTGCTGGGGCGACTGGGTCTCGCTCCGACGCTGCTACCGCTACCTCTGGCCTCCTCCAGAACCTCCACGCTGAGCTCCAGTCCTACCGCCACCACTCCCACCGCTGCCACTACCGCCACTCCCACCGCTGCCTCCACCGACGCCACCGACGCCCCCACTCCCGCCACCACTCCCACAACTGCCACCAACCTCCACCGCCTCCACTAACCTCCACTGCTGCCCCCCACCACCACTCCCGCTGTCACCTCCACCACCCCTACCACCCTTGCCCTTGCTGCTGCGGCGCTTCGCACTAGCAGAAGCAGCCCCGACCAATCCTCAGCACCAAGGACGTCAACAGCAGCAGCAGAGGCGTAGGAGGGGGCAATGGGGGAGGGGGAGCACCCCTCAAGAAGGGCGTGCGCGGAGTGCCACGAGCAACACCTACAGCGACTACACTAGTCTCAGCTGCAAGGAGGTCTACTCTAGTAGGCCAACTGTGAGGACTGTGGGGTCAAGGGAGAGAAAGTGGTCCCTAACAGAGCGAAGAGAGTCAGGGGAGGCAGGTGCCTATAAAGTAGAGAGTGATGAACATCGGGGGCTGGTTCTTGTCAAGGAACTCAGCGGGGCGGCAGCGTGGTAGCGAACGTCGCTAGCGCGAAGGTGGGAAACCAGGTCCTCGACTGTGGCAAAGGCGGACAGTTCGGAGAACAGGTAGGGCAGTAGCAGGTGACCTAGAGCAGCAGTGGCAGGCGAGGAGTAGCGAGAGACGACAGCGTCGTACAGTGCCTGTGCTGTCCTGCGCTGTCCGAAGTGAGCGCATTTGGCTAACGGCAGGTGGTTGCGAATGGCTAAGCGGGCAACAGCGTCGCGAGTAAGCCATTGTGAGCGAGTCGCAGTGTCAGCTGCGACGGGAGGGGCGGGAGCAGTGCCAGACGTGAGGTCAAACAAAGAAACACTGTCCCGAGAGTCACTCAGTAGGTACAGCTGTAGGTCGTCAAGCCACGTGTCAAACTGGATCGGGGCGACCCTCATGAATCGAACGCGAGAACGCAGAGAGAAGCCATAGCGGCGCAGCACGTAGGGCGGGCGGAGGCCTAGCAGCGCGGGGAACAGGGCAGGCAGCAGGCTGCAGGAGGGGCGGCTCGAGGGCCTAGGGGCGACTACTGGGGCGACGTGTCGGGGCCAGGGGCTACGAGCCGGGACTAGGGTCGACGGGCCTGGGGGCCAGGAGCAACAAGCCAGCGGGGCCAAGGGGCGACGGGCCTAGGTGACGGGCCGGGGCGCGCGGACGAGGGGCTACGGGCCGGGGCGCGCTGGCTAGGGGCGACAGGCCGCGGGGCCTAAGAGAAATGGGCCGGGGGGGGGACCTAGGGGCAATGGGCCACGGGGCCTAGAGGTGACTGGCCGGAGGCCTAGGGGCGACGGGCCGTGGGGCCTAGGGGCAACGGGCCCGGGGGCCGAGAGAGAGGGGACGGGGCGCGCGGGCGAGTGGCGACGGGCCGGGGCGCGCGATGGCTAGGGGCAACGGGCCGGGCGCGTAGGCTAGGGGCGACGGGCCGGGCCGCGGGGCCAGGAGAGATGGGCCGGGCGTTTAGGCTAGGGGCGACGGGCCGGGCACGCGTAGGCTAGGGTGACGGGCCGGGCGCGTAGGCTAGGGGCGACGGGTCGGGCGCTCGTAGCTAGGGGTGACGGGCCGGGCGCGCGTAGGCTAGGGGCGATGGGCCGGGCGCGTAGGCTAGGGGCGTCGGGCCGGGCGCGTAGGCTAGGGGCGAAGGGCTGGGCGCGCGTAGGCTAGGGGCGACGGGCCGGGCTAGGGGGCGCGCTGGCTAGGGCCTACGGGCCGAGCTAGGGGCAATGGGCCTAGGGGCGACAGCAAGGGGGCAACACGAGGGTCGCTAAGGGCAGTGGCAGTGGTGGGCCCAAGGAAAAAAAAAACAGTCGTAGCGGAGGACCTGCTCTGAAACCATGTCAAAGAGAATGAACGAGAATGATGAACTAGCAGACAGTTGGGTACAAGTACTAACCCTAATTGGGTTGTACCCTTATGGGCTACCTACCCCACTATAGGCCTACACAAATGTAAGCACTATAACATTCTGACAACGTCGTCGGCGTCTCGGGACGTGGTCTTCGACGAAGACAAGTTCCCGACGAAGGAACACCAACGCCGCAACTCATCGTCGTTCTTCCCGCACGAGAGGAGGATGAAGCGATGGAGGTTCTATCACAAGTGGAAACGGAAGCCGAAAATGGAGGGGGAGAGAACGAGGAGAGCGATGATGACGTGGTGGAAGTGCCATCAAAACCGCGACGACAACTTCCTCAACACCTTCCTCCCTCCCATTGGCATTGACCCGCGAGCAACGTACATGTTGCCCCAATACGAGGTACACCGACTACGCTACGGTAGCCGTTGGGGAGTTGGACAAGGAGCGTGCGACATATTGCCTCGCAACCTTGGGTGATGACCCTCGCACCCATACCGAGGCTTTGGCTTCTTTGGATGCGCCACTATGGAAGCAAGCGATGGAGAAGGAACTAGCCTCGATCAAAGAGAACGACGTGTTCGAGCTCGTCGACCCATCGAAGGGTGCCTACTTGGTGGGGGTGCAAATGGGTGCTTAAGAAGAAGTTGGGAGCCGATGGGAGTGTCCGAACGCTACAAGGGCGAGGCTTGTAGCTCAAGGATACACTCAACGGGAGGGGGAGCACTATAGTGAGACCTTCGCTCCCGTCGCTAAGGCTACTACTCTTCGGGTGTTGCTCGCACTAGGCGGCATCTCTCAACCTCGAAGTGGAGCAATTGGGACGTTTGCACCACCTTCCTCTACGGGCTTCTCATGGAAGAGGTCTACATGCGGCAACCCCCAGGGTACGATGATGGTAGCGGAAGGGTATGGAAGCTCAAGCGTACCCTCTATGGCTTGAAGCAAAGTCCACGCAGATGGTACAAGCGCATCGACGACTTTTCTTCTTCAACACGGCTTCGCTCGTAGCGAGTGCGATAGCGCTTTGTACGTGTTGAAGGAGGGGGAGAAGCAATTGGTTCTTTTACCTCTACGTCGATGACCTACCCCTCTTCTCCGACTCCAAATACCTCATTTGGGAGGTCAGCAACGGCTAGGGGCGGAGTTTGCGATGAGGGACTCGGGGCCGGTCACGTACTACCTTGGGATGCACGTCGACCGTGACCGAGCCAACGGGACCATCCACCTCCACCAAGAGAAGCATGTGAAGGGGGTAGTGGAGAGCTTTGGCATGGGCAATAGCAAACCGGTGGGAGCACCACTAGCTATGGGATGTTTCTTGCCTCACGGGAGAGGAAGAATCCACCCTCGAAGAAGCCGAAGGGAAGCGGTTTCATTCGCTAGTGGGCTCGCTCATGTATGTCGCCGTTTCCACCCGTCCTGACCTCGCATACGCCACCGGGTGCTTGGACGAGTCGTGAGCAACCCTCATACCGAGCATGGTGCGCGCGGGAGGACGCGTTCTACGCTATCTCCAAGTCACACCTAACTTGGGGCGCGTGTATGAAGCCGGCCCAATCGAGCTCAAGGCTATGCCGACTCGGACTACGCGGGAGATCCGAGCACGCGCAAGAGTACCTCCGGGTATGTCTTCACTTTGCTTGGGGCAGCCGTGAGTTGGCAAAGCAAGAAGCAACCAACCGTGGCTCTAAGCTCAACGGAAGCGGAGTATATGGCACTCACACAAGGTGCCATGGAGCAATATGGCTACGGCGTCTTCTAGCGGAGCTTGGGCATCCTCAACCGAACCCAACTCCTCTCTTTTGTGACAACCAAGCCGTTATAAGCCTCTCTCACAACGCTGTCCTTCACGGACGAACAAAGCATATTGAGGTGAAGCATCACTTCATTCGTGAGGCGGTTGAGAAGGGTGAGGTCAAACTCACTTATGTGAGCACCAAAGCTCAACCGGCGGATTTCCTCACCAAACCACTCCCTAAGGACTCGTTCCGTGCATGCTGTGAGCGTGTTGGCTTGAGCACCTAGTGGCTTGGGTGCAAGGGGGGGTGTTGGAGGTTGCGTGGGGCGGTTTTGCCCCCAACCACCAAGCGGTGCTGTTTTTGGTGCTCACCTCTGAGTGAGTTGCAGGTTTGCGTGGGGTTGAAGTTTGACTTCGGAAAACTCCATCACTTTGGTGCCACATGGCAGCACAAGAAGAATCAAGACTGAAGGAGAATTCGATTCGGTGAAATTCGAGTTCCAAATTTCACCCCTTCGAAATGTTACTTGAACATTCGAGAGTGTAGCGACTCGAGGTTACATGTGCGACTCGATGCATTGCACTTCATATAAATTTGTTTGCTTTGTATTGCATGGAATATACTGAACATTGTGAATCACTTTGTATGAAGTACATTCGAACACAAATTCCAGAGAGTTTCCAATCCTTCAACATAGAGTATAGCTTTCATATTAGTAGCCATTTCTCGCTCGATACTTAGGCGATCGAGGTGATCCACGGCCTGTTGGAAAGCTAAGACAGTGCTCTACTGATTAGTACAAATCTTAGTTCCTGCAAAGTAGAGGAGAAGCCTCTACAACATAAAAGTCTTCCCACCTTTAGGAGATAGCAGCAGATGGAGTGTGACTACCAGATATGAAGAACTGGGCTCCACTCACAAGTGGGAGAGACAAAGAAGAAAAGGGACGTCGAAACCGTAGAGCAGTTCAAATTTCGTCGCATAGCTGTTCTTCGACATAATTCAAAATTATTGTTGGAACATCCAAGTTTTGTACACTCTATTAGCTTTACAGGTTAATGTACTTTTGCAAAATGCTTCGCAACCTTAAGACGATTTCGTCGCCTCTTTTTTTTTTTTTTTTTTTTTTTGCATGCGTGAACGCTTTGATGGTAGGGGGTGTTGGGTCCGCGCAATGTCAGTGTAGCTTGCTGACGGAGGACCATTTCGTGTGGGGAAGGAACGACCAAACCAGTGCATCTCGATTCGTGGTGCACGTGGCAGCAGGGCAGAGGTCGTGGTGATCACCTCGTGCATGGTTCCACGTCCAGCTCACGCCTTGCTCACAGCCTAACGAGTGACAACGTTGACGAAGCCAGCAACATGCGTCGCATGCCCCTCGCAGGACGATTTGTTCCGTCCAGGTGAGTCGCGAATGTGTCGCAACGTTCGCACAACATGATTTTGGCTGGGTTTGTTTTTGTGACCTGGACATTTGTGTTCGCATATAGTTTCGCGAGCTGATTCTCCTGAAAAAATGCTTTCGCGGAACCAGGTTGGTTTTCGCGTCGCTGATGGGGAACATGCACGAGGGGTGTGGTACTCAGGTGGGACGGGGAATTGGTTCGCGTGCTGCGGGTCCCGACAAGCCCCAGCTGGCGGGGTTTCAGTTCCGCCGACCCGTCGCTGGGGGAGCAACGAATCTGTCGTTCACACAGGCAAAACGGGAGCGATGGAATGGAATTCGATGAGACACACCAGACAGGTTGCTTTCGTGTCCCTACATCATCAGACTGCTACTCGAAATTTAACTGTCAGTCTATCTGTGTCACTTATTCCGTCAGTTTGTTTTCTCCGTTCCGTCTGATATGAAAGGTCTCCCGGGCTGTGCATAGAAATGTTTCAATCTCATCTGGTCGTTCAAGAAAGTGAGCAACGAGCTGTCCTGTTAGGGCGTATCTTTGGTTCCGGTCATGAGCACTATTCATTCAACTGTTTGGGGCATCCGCATTTAGCGCATGACCCAAAGTGGACTCTGGAAGCGCCCGCGGTTCGAAGTTCGGGTCATCCAGGAAACTACATGCGACTGGGGTGTTCAATGTGTCCCTACCAATTAGATTGAGCTACGACCCTAGGTTGGGTCGCCCTCTTTAGACGGACGTTTACTTTCATCTCACGCCCGTCAATGTCCCATCTACACCAATAACGTCCAACACTTCCAACTACAACTGACGTGACCACGCTCACCAAAACAAGCCCCGACATCACACCACCTCTCGCTCTCCCACGCTCCGGACGCCATGTTTACAAGCACAAGGCGGCTTCA